TTCATTTACTTTTTAACAGCCTTGGTGAGAGCGGCTTTAGGTTCACAGCAAAACCCAGCTAATGGTACAGGGGTTTCCACAGACCCTCTTCACCAACACACACACCTCCTTCTCCATTATCGACCCCCGACCCCAGGCGTGGTGCAGGGGCACACTGCCAGCGTGTACAGCCACAGTCCCGCACAGACACGGCTGCCGCTCCCTGTCCATGGTTCCATCATGGCTCACTCTTGGTGTGGTACCGTCTGTGGGTTTGGACAAAGGTGTGACGGCATGCATCTGTCCTAAAAACACCTCTTTGCCCTGACTGTCCCTCCCCTCCCCCCAGCCCCTGGCAACCACTGATTTCTCTTACATCTCCACGGTTTTCATTCTTGGACCGTCACAGAGTGGGAGTCACATGGTAGGCAGGCTTCTCAACTAGGCTTCCTTCACTTAGTCACATGCACCTGACTTTCCTCCATGTCCTTTCATGACTTGCTAGGGCATGTGTGTTCAGTTCTGAATAGTACCGGTACATTGTTGTCTGGATTCACCACCGCTTCTCTGTTCACCTACAAAGGACATGGTGGCTGCTTCCGAGTCTGGGCAATTACGGATGAAGCTGCTATGACATGCGTGTGCAGATAATTACTGAGCCGCCCATTCCCCCCCATCTGAGTGAGTCCCCCCAGAGCACCGCTGCTGTGCTGCATGGTGAGAGTGTGTTCGCTTTTGTAAGAAACTGTCCAACTGCCCTCGGAAGTGGCTGCTCCGTGTTTCATAGCCACCGGTGATGAGTGAGGGTCCCTGATGCTTTACAACCTTGCTGGCGTTTGGTGCTCAGTGTCTTGGATTTTGGCCATTCTGACAGGGGTGTGATGGCATCTCATGGTTTTAACTTGTGGTTCCCCAATGACATATGCCATGGAGTCTTTTCATATGCCATTTGCTACTTGCATATGTTCTTTGGGGAGGTGTCTGGGAACAGCTTTTGCCAATTTTTTAATTGGGCTGTTCATTTTATTGTTGAGTTTTACAAATTCCTTGCATATTTTAGATAATAGCCTTTATCACATGTCTTCTGCATATATTTTCTCCCAGTGTGTGGCTTGCCTTCTCATGATCTTGACATTGTCTTTCACAGGAAAAAGTTGTTTAATTTAATGATGTTTAGCTTATTATTTATTTATTTCATGGATCATGCCTATGGTGTTGAACCTAGGTCATCACCATAGTCAAGGTCATCTAGATTTTCTCCTGTTACGTTCTAGAAATTTTATAGTTTTGTGTTTCACATTTAAATACATGACCCATTTTGAGGTTGGTTTTGTTTGTTTGTTTTTGTAGAATATAACGTCTGTCAATATTCAGTTGTTCCTGCACCATTTGTTGAAAAGACTATCTGTTCTCCATCAAATCCTCTTCAGAGATCAGCCGGCCAGATCATGTGGGTGTGTTTCTGGCTCTCTATTTCATTCCATGTATCTATTTGCCTGTTCTTGCACTCACACGGCCTGCCTCTATCACTGTAGCTTGATAGCATGGCACCGCATTAGGCAGCATCCATTCCCTCCCTGGCTTGGTTCTTCTTCAGTGGCATGTTGGTAGTCTGGGTTGTCTGCCTCCTATAAACTTTAGAACCAGGTGATCCACATCCAAAAAACAACTGGCTGGGGTTTTCATTGGCGTTGTTTAGATCGAGCTGACATCCTGACAATGTTGAGTATTGAGTCTTCTCCATGAACGTGGGATAGCTCTCCACTTATTCAGGTCTTTGGTTTCCTTCATCAGAGTTGTGTGACTTTCCTCACATAGATCCTATAAATAGTTTATGAGGTTTATATTTAAGTTTTTTATTTATGGGGTGCTAATGCAAATGGTATTGCTTGTATTTCAAATTCCACTTGTTCATTGCTGATAATATAAGAAAGCAACTGACTTTGTATATTAACTTTGTATCCTGCACTCTTGATAGTTCCAGGAGTGTTTTTGTCAATTCTTTCAGATTTTCTATGTAGACAATCAGGTCATCTGGGAACAAAGTTTTAGATGTTCTCCTCCATCTGTGATGTCTCTTACAAATATGTTAATGTTTTTTCAGATTGACTGTAAGTACCCTCAGTGTTTGTCTCAAGCTATCTTTATTTTCCTCATATTTTTGTTGGGTATATTGGGTACAGAATTCTAAGTTAACATGTGTTTCGCAGTATTTGATATTACATCACCATTTTTCTTCTATTATTTCTAGTAGGCGTCATTCAAATTATTTTCCCATTCTAGTTAATCTCATCTCTTTATTTGACTTTCAGATCTTCTCTTTCCTTAGTGTTTTATTTCCTTTATGACATGAGCTTCCTGTGCTTGAACTTGACTATGACCAACTGGAGGCTTTCTCACTGGCCTTGCCTGGGACTGTGCACTCTTGAATCAGAGAAACTCTCCCCAGCCAGTCTCTGAGAAATCTGCCTCTCCTCTCGGTTCTCTATTCTCATACAAGGGTTTCAGATACAAGGGTTTCTGATCAGTTATATGATCGCCATCTCATTCTAAACTCCTATTCTCTTAAAACTATGTTTTACACTGCAACCCATAGCACATTCTGGGCCATTGCCTCATCTCTATATTCCAGTTCACAAATTCTCTCTTTGCAATCACCTAATTTGTTGTTTCACTCCATCCACTGGGGATTCTTAAAAATTCCAATAGCTGAAATTACGTTCTATTCAATAGTTACCTTTTCCTGTTATGTCTGTGTTAATTTACATTTTTTTATTTTGCTTTAATTAACATAAAACACATTTGTTGCATATTCTGTTTCAAAATGCCATTTCATTTCCTCAATTTTGGGGGAACTTATCTTGTGGTTTATGGTATCTGGACCCCTCCACGCAGGAGGAACATGTTTGACACTGGTCATGTGCTCCCTCCCAGTAGGGTTTGGCTCTGCGGCATCAATGCCCCACACCTGAGATCCCTCTGGGAGCTTTAGTGAGTGCCATTCTGCCTGAAGCAGCAGACACACCACAGGTGGGCCCAATCCTTAGGGTAACTTCCCATTCCGGATCGCACAGGTACTGCAGGTTAGATTTGCTTCACTTCCCCCATGTCTTACGTGTTCTGCCAATTTCTCAAATGTGATTTCCAGGCTCCTCGGTGCCGAGTGCACGTGAAGGACACCTCCCTCCCCTCCGAGCCACCTGGAGACCACAGGGCGCCAGCCCACACATGTAAGCCCGGGGCTTACCCATTCCTCCACGAAGAGACGGCGGTGCGGTTTCTGTTTTTCACCGGTCCCTGGAAACCCATTTTCCCTTCTTTATTTTAGTGTGTTCTTTTTGGCAATTTCACTTATGAGTTTTAAATTGATGTCAGAGAGGAAGGGAGAGGAAAAGAAAGAAACATCAGTGATGAGAGAGAACCACTGAGCGGCTGCCTCCTGCACGCCCTCTCCTGGGGATCGAGCCCGAAATCAGGGCCTGTGCCCTGGCTGGGAATCGAACAGAGACCTCCTCGTTCATGGGTTGATGCTCAACCACTGAGCCACGCCAGCCGGGCCTCCCATGAGATTTGTAAATGTGACGAATTTAACAGGAGACATTTCCTGTGACTTAGGTCTGCATCTCGCTGGCTCCAGAACTCTGACGCTGTGAAAGCCCTCCTAGCCCAGAGCTGCCGTGTCCGCACTTAGTGTAGGTGGAGAGACATGAACGTCTCTCCCGTGGGGCCATCATGTTGTTTCGGGTTGTTTGTCCCGCAGTCGAAAGCAATCCTGTTACACCATGGAGACTGAAAGGAGACCTATTACTGTTGTCAAAGCACAAAGAGACTCCCATCCTTGGGAAAGCAGAGCGCTCCTCAATGGGTGTGGCGTGAAGAGGGAAGGACCTCCGCCAGAGGGTGGACTGACATTGAGGTAATGGCTTAGAACCTGCAAATGGCCAAAATGACCTCTGAAACTCTCCTCCTGCTTTTAAAAATGTCTCCACATGTGGAGCGTGGCTCAGTGTTGGGACAGGTTCAAGCCTCGGATTAATGAGAGGGCACGGTCCTCAGGTGGCCAAGCCATGTGCAAGTCCCAGCACAAGTCCAGCCAAAGGCCGTGGTTGTCAGCTTGAACCTATGGCCTGAACCTGTGGTCCCAGGAGGCTGAGTGATGTGGGCTTGATACGAGTCAGACGCCTGTACTTGAGTAGATTCGAAACCCGAGAGAACATTGTAAACATCTTGACCAGGCCCTTGCTTTGCCTGCTGGGATCTGACTGAAAAATAAAGACTCGGCTTGCACTGTCTCCCATCCAGGCACATGGCCACCTGGTCCAGCGATATCCGCTTGTCTGTTTTCCTTAATCCTTCACCGCCCCCTCAGGTTCACCCTTGGCTGCGCTGGATGCGGTTCATCTATAATTCAGTGTTTCCCACAGTGTGGTGCGCGTACCCCCAGGGGTGCGGGAAGAGTTTGGGGGGGGTACGCGTTGCACCGGAGTTTGGTGGGGATATGCACTGACTGCACCGTGCTTAGCTGCGCCTAATTCTACGTTCTCATGAGTACGAGGGGTACTCGGCGTTACGAAAATTATAGAAGGGGTGCACATAGGTCAGAAGTTTGGGAAACACTAAATTCTACATCACCAGAAACATCATCACCCAAAAGTATTTTGATTGAATAAGAAATAGAAGAAAAGAAAGACAAGAGTCGAGAGAGACACAGGTACCTTAATCATATGTTTTGACCCAGCACAATGCCCCATGTGTCCCTAGACCCCTAGCTCTTCCGGGAAAAGATTACTATCTTCACGGCAAGACACCTTCCCAGCCCATGTTCATTCCCAACGGGACCGCCTCTGCCGGGGTGCTTACTAAATGCCCGCCTCCGCTTCACATCAAACACTCCCCTCCTGGCGACGCCACCCCTGCGATGGAGACCCCATCGTGAGCCACAGGGAGGCATGGAGGCTGCTTCCCCGTGGAGACTCCGCCCCCCAGCGCACTTCACTGGCCCTCATCAGCATGTGATTACCTGGCCTGCCCGCTGCCCGCGCAGCGCCCTCTCTGTCTTCCTGCAGAATGACGGCCAGGCCCTCGGAGTCGGTGGGGAGCACGGAGCTGCTGAAGTCCACGCGGGTCAGGCTCTCGGGCTCCCTCACGAGGGCCCCCGCAGGGCCCCGGAGATGGTCCCTGCCGGAGGCCGAGGCGGCGCCTTCTCCCCGGGGCCTCAGCACCACGTGGACGATGCTCTGCTGGCCCAGGTCGCAGCTCTGCGGGAAGAGAGAAACACGCGACTGTAGTCTAGTGTTCACATGCTGGTGAGGGTGAAGGCACCCGAGTTCCAGGCCAGGTGCGAGCCTGACTCTGCTTCTGTGGATGTCAGCTTGCAGTCATCGGACCTGAGGAGGGGACGTGGGACAGGCGTGTGAGGGGTAAGGTGGCACCCGTCCCCTGCCAAGGGCACCCCGCTCACATGTGTCTGTCCCACCGGACAGGGAAGTGGTGGGGGGATGAATGAAGCACAACCACAGAAAACCAAAGTGCTGTTTAAAGGGACATACACTGTAGGTGACAAAGAGGCACCCTGCAGGCTCGGCCTACTCAGGCAGTGAGAGGCGATGCTGCTTAAAATGGTGACTTCGAAACTTCATTCACTCATTCATTCATTCATGTCGTTAAAGATTTTTAGATAGAGAGGGAGAGACAGAAACATCGATGATTCACTGATGTTTATCTCTCCCTCTCTCTCTGAAAACGGTTAAAAAAAAAGTGTGTTAAGGGAACATATGATCATGGGAGTGTTGGACACGGAAAGATGGCGGTGGAGGCTGGATGAGGAGTCACAGAGCGCAGGGAGGAAGGCTGGTGGTGAGGGTGTGCCCACCCGGACAGGGAGCCCCTACCTGCTGCCCTGGGGCAGGGTCTGGCCCAGGAGGCAGCTTCTGGTCTGGATTCCCAGCAGGCAGTCTGTGCTGGCCCAGGAGCTCAGGTGGCACCTCATCTTTGATCCTCTGCCACCCAGGCTCACGACCTCGGTCACAGACCCGTGGGTACGTCCCCTCCAGGCTGTCTGCTCCCTGGGGCGGTGGGTGCAGTCCTAACACCACCACCAATGACCTGCTTATTTACCCTCCCACTGAGGGCGGGGGAGGCTGCCTAGATTAGGTCAATCACCTTGAGGAAAGAATTGATCATCTCGTCAGGCAAACTGGGAGGTAATGATGGACCCTTCAAAGTTTAAAGAGCTTTTTTTTTTTTCATAGTAAATAAACTTTATTTATCTGTTCTTCCGAGATGACATTGCCAACAATCACAGGTTTGCATACAATAGTTATGTGTTGACTATTTGCAATTTACAGTAGTATTTTTTTTGTGTGTGGAAATATTGGAATCATGTCTGCAGGACAGAGTGCACAAAAGGGGCCACGTGCTGACCTGACAGCCCAGGGGAGGCCTGCATGGCGGGCTTGCAAAGTCAGACCTAAAGGAACCACTAAGGATGGTCTGACATTAAACTTTAACTAAACGCCATTAGGGTGGGCAATCAGCTCCTAGGCTGGTATCTTCACCTAAACTGAGCCTAAGGGTCTTTTTGCATCTATGATAACACACCCTTGAAGTGTCTGAGTAGCCTGTAACTTCCCTTCTTCTGGAGCCTCAGGGGCACAACCTAAAGCACAGGCTCCAGGACAGAGGCCACTAATCTCTTCATTGTTATCACTAATTGTTCCTGCTCTGCACCCACCAAAGTATGTGTCCATCATTTTACTTTTTATCCAACCCCAGGGGTTCCCTGCTTTGCTTTATCCACCCCATTACTCTATCACCAATGGATTTCAGGTAACCCACCTAAGTCCCTCCTTTGATTGTAAAGCATAAATACAGACGTAGCCGCCATTCTCCAGAGCATTATCTCAATTCCTTGAGGTTCTGCTTCCCGACAGGCATATGTGGACAGTTTGGCTCAAATAAACTCACAAGGATTCTTAAATTTTTTTTTAATCTTATTGATTATGGTCTCACATAATTGTCAATCACAAGGATTCCTTCAGGTTTCAATGGTTTTTTACCTTAGCAAAAGGGACCTCCACTCCGGCAGATAACATGGGGGGGACAGGCTGGGGGCGGAGCGGCTGAGAGCCCCAGGGCCTGGCAGCAGCAATCCTTTGCAGGGTGGGACCTGCCCCCAGGCTGACCTTCCTCCCGGCAAACCCGGGGCCTGGAGGTTTGGGCCCTGATCTTTCCTCCCCGAGGTAACATCCGGCCTCAGGCCCAGAGAAGCAGCCAAACCAGCCCGGCGACCCACTGCAGTAACCCCACCAATGACTGCTGGCAGGACCCCTGCCCTGGTGCCAACGATCAATCAGAGGGGACCCCAACCCTGAGAGCCCCCCTGGGAAGCTGCTGCACATGCTTCTGAGATCTTCCCGTGGGACCTCCCTAACCTGTCCCCCTAGGCCCTTAGGATGGAGGGCCCAGGGCTCCCCGCCCCCCAGCCCAGGCCCAGCTCCATTAGCTCCGGCCTCCCAGGCTCCAGGGCCTCCCTCCTGCTGCACACGCTTTCCTCCGCCCCTTCCTTCTAGTTCCTTCTAGGAGCCGCTTCTGGTCCTCCGTGTGGGCCTGGCTCTGACTTCTTTCCCAGCCGGGGCCCAGGTTTGCTCAGACCCCAGGGGTCACACACCCAGTGCCGCTGCCCACAACAAACCAGCACAAGGCCCGCCTCCCGCACCCAGGTGGGCGGCCCCCCCAGGACCGAGGCTGGAGAAGGAGGCCACCAATGGGAGGTGTGGGGGGGGGGGGGAAGAGAGGGCGCGAAGGGACTTACAGAGAGGCGCATCTTGGGCTGGAGACGTGCAGGAGCCCTGAGCAGAGCAGGAGTTCGAGGTTCAGTTCTACAGACAGGAACCGCCCGGGCAGGGAGGGAGGCTGGGACAGGCCCTGGGGCAGAGGGAGGGGCGGAGGGAGGGCTGCGGTCCCCAGGGACGTGGGTGGGGTGCCTGCTGGAGCCCCACCCCTCTGGCTCAGCCCAGCACTGCCCCTCAGGGGTGTTGCCCTTCACCCTCCCAATGTGTGCACAGCCTGGGCACTGGTGGTAGGTCCTTCACAGGGCCCTCAAACCCCCACCTGACACCCCCAGTCTGTCACAGCGCCCCCCCACTCCGATGGCCCACCTGCTCCTGACATGGCCCGCTCCCTGCTGCCCCGCGCAGCCAGGTGCCCAGTGACCCGTTCTGATGGCGTCCCTCCCACTGCCCTCCCGTCGCCCCACGTGCCAGAGCCTGGAACCGCCCACCTCCCCATGGCCCCTGACTGAGCACATGCACAGGACACAGAGCACGGCGCTGCAGGACCTGCCCACATGCCCGCATCACCTGCTGCGCGGCCGGCTGCACAGGTCCTCATAGGCTGGCCGTCTAACCACTGAGCTCACCGGCCAGGGCTGGGGACCTGTTCCCACACACACTCCCCAGGGCGGCCGGACCCACTCGGCAGCTGAGTCCGAGCGGAGGGAGCACTGCGGAGGGAGCACTGCGGAGGGTTTGGGTGATTCACCCGCAGGGATGTGTAAAGGGGTGCTCTGTGGCCCATGTTTTCCCTCTCTGAGCCCATTGCCCTTCAGACACTCACAAGCTCTCCCCAGTTCATGACCAGGGGACGGCTAGCAGAGCATCCAAGTCAGCCCAGGGTCACAGGTCAGCCCCTGCCCAGTGCTCTGCGCCTTCAATGACGCTGCTGTCTCCAGTATCCTCAGTGGGGTCGTTCATTTTTAAAAATATATATATATTTTATTGATTTTTACTGAAAGGAAGGTAGAGGGACAGAGAGCTAGAAACATCGATGAGAGAGAACCAAAGATCAACTGCCTTCTGCACACCCCCCACTGGGGATGTGCCCGCAACCAAGGTACGTGCCCGTGACCGGAATAGAACCCGGGACCCTTCAGTCCGCAGGCTGATGCTCTATCCACTGAGCCAAACCGGTTAGAGTGGGGTCATTTATTTTAGTTCCAAGTTGTCAACCCCCCTCTCATCAGACAAAATGCTCCATCCCCCATCCCCTCCCACCCCCTATTCCGCTGGCCTGTGGTCACACTCGCCATCATGCCCCAGCCCGTCCCCAGGCCTGCAGGCTCCGAGCTCCGTCTGCAGTGCTAACAGCACACAGTGTCTCCCTTAGAAAAGCAACAACGATTCGTCAGGAATTATCAGATGAAAGATTTCCCAATTTAATAGTCAATGATGCTATCAGATTTTAAAAATGATTTCAACATTAAGGAACTCTCACTTTGATAAGTTTAAAGAAACACTTTTTAAAGCAACTGAAATTTAATTCCTTTTTTTTTCCTTCTTGCTACTAAAAATCCAGAATGCATATTTCTTGCTCCTTCTGGAAATAACTTCCAACAGGCAGATGCTCTGCAAGCCCGCGGAGGTTTGGGTGGGGCGCTTTGTGTGTGGAAGGACCAAGTGGCAATGCTGGGGAGTGCGTGAGGGCGTTTTAAGCGCAATGGCTGAGGAGTGCGGTGCGTGGCGACTGCCCACAAGGCGACTGCGTGGCAGAGAAGCCGGCCAAGACGCTCCGGTGAGGGCGGAGCCAGAAAAGAATCTTGAAGTAAAAGTAGCAAGTTGCCAAAGAGGATATATTGTTAGCCCGTTTACTACACATCGTATGTAAGTTTTTTACACGCAGTAAAAGTTTGCGCTTCTTCCCCTGGGTTAACGGCTATTCTGCACAGGCCTGCTGTCCCTCACATCAGGCGTTTTTTAACCGTGTTCGGATTATGTACATGAGACCGGTTAGAGTGCCAGAATGTGTATCTTCAAACCCAATTGTTATAGTTATATTAGTGTGATGTTTTAAGGATTTAAAACAGTGTAAGAATAATTATTTGTGTGATTTAAAATAGGAATGAAAGCATTTACTTTTATGAGTGATTTATAGTTTAAGTGTGAATTTTATTTCTGATCTTAGTCTGAGTTTAAGTAAAAGAAATTATTTGAAATGTGCTTTAGGCTTAATATAAGTAACTCCATATAATGTGACTTGAATCCATTTCGTAAAACTTGAGTTTTAAAACTGACTTTGAGCCCCTAACTGTGTGAACGCCCTAACATGTTCTTGTCTGGAAAGTTGTAACTGTGTGAAAGCCCTAACAAGTGTTTATCTGAAAAGTTGGAAACCGAGGCAAAAGGTACCTGGAGAGCTCCCAATTAGGCACACTGAAGATCTACTGGTTGCACCCAGAAGGAGTTAAGAAACATGCTGAAAC